GGGGAGGAGGGGGGAGGAGGGGGGGGGGAATTCGCAAAACTAAAATTACTCACGAAGGACACAAATTTTAGGCTTCATAAAAATGAAGTACGCAATAACCAACACTAAAACAGAGTAAAGCAGCAACCGTGGCAATGTAGAGTGATAGAATATGCTGTGATAGGTGTGGAATGTGCGCCAAAAGATAGTTCAAACTGCTTCACTATTGACCCACTATAATGGAATAAAAAGTGTATTCTCAGCTGTTAGGGAAATGTTCAGAAATAACAAAGAACACTCCTGTATGCACCTAGATGAAGCCATAATTACATGTTACAGTGATGTGTAGGGCTCTGTGTAAAAAGAATGGAGAGAATACATTAAGACCGTTAGAATTGGGAGCTTGGATGTTTCCACGAGTAACATACAAATAGCTTGGAAAGAAGTGATCACAAGATTTGGCATAAAAAGGGGCCTTACATTGAGGACGTAACCTCACTATAGGTTAATAATAGACCCCCCCCCCACACACACACAGGAAATATACACTTGAAAGCTTAGCATGAATTATTTAGCAAATCCAATGGCACGATTTCTCATCTGATTCGTTATTGGCATGGGTGCAGTAGCCTTTACTCCGGGTTTCAAACGTATTTACCTACCTGCAATCACGCATAACTCTACAGAACATCCAACGAAGTCCAGTCAAATTAGCATTCTCGCTGGGTCTTACTTGGTCACACCAGACGCATAAATACTCTACAAAGCTAATAATTGAGAGAAATATGATTGGCCAATCGCTACTATTAGCACCGTAATCACCACCGGGGGTTAAAAGGGGGGGGGGGGGGAAAAAACTAGAAGAGACAAGAATCACTCACCAAGATCATTGTTATAAAAGGTGTAGGTGATGAGAACATCGTAGAGGCGAGTTAGAGCACCAGAAGAGTCGTCTCTGAAGAGGGGAACTTGACGGTCAGTTCGGAAAGTGTCCTTTTCAATAATATTTCTGCGCTCTCTATACACACGACTGTTTCGCACTTGTTTCACAGACATTGACTTCCAAAAGGCCTTCATAATGCGGTAGTGCTGACTGAGAACGAAAACAGCAGGATAATATTAGGGTGCGGCCATAAGACCATAAGCAAGACTAACATAAAATGCATGCTAGCCTTAAGCCAATTTGGAATGATCAGTTAACTTAGGGCATACTATTGCGATAAAATGAGATATGAATTAAGGCAAGTGATTTACTGTTTTTTCTCTATCCTGGCAGCATTTTCAGCTTCGGTGTAATCCCATTTGAGGTATCCAAAGAGGTACTTCCAAGCGATTGGTCTGAGTTCGGGGTCAATTCCCTAAAATTAGGAAGAAAGATTACTATTCAACATGACCTAGAGGTGCATTAAACTATTCCCACACATCACAATAACTCAAACCACAGTTGTCAAGCCCTTTGCTTGGAAAATAAGCAAAAAATTTGATAAAGAGCAAATAAAGTGGGGAAAGTGAGGGCAAAGCAAAACAATCCCTATTTAAAAAGATGTTAATGTAATGTAATTAAAGCCTATCCTAATTACAGAAATTCACTAACAGGAAACAAAAATGAGACTAAGTGGGTGTTAGACAAGGGTGTAGAGGAGGAAGCAACCCCAAAAAAAGTGATTTAAAAAATGAAAAAGTTTCCGACGTGTTTGCCCGACAGCGAGAAAACACCGATAAACACGGGTTAGTAGCCGAGGCATAAATACACACAGAAATACGTCAAGTCAGAAACCGGGTGAAAATCGATAAACAAAATCAGGGGAGCATATGTCGTTGATTAGGCATAAAATAATGGTAAAAATAGCAACTCATTTACGGGTTTACTACACATATGTGCAAATCCACTGCATGAAATGAGCACAATCTTGATTAATACTGGTTAAGAGGATAACCCTTTCTATGCTCTAAATAAACTTTCTCAATGAGTCCGAAATTTGGGCACTGTACGAATTAAGTAAGCATAAGTAGTTAACCTCTAGGAAGTAGAGCAAAAAGAACGAAACCCAGACTAGATGGGTTAAAATTGGTTGGGAAATGGATCTACAATCCCCCCCCCCTCCTCCTCCCACCCCCTCCCCCTCTCTTCCACACAAAACACGTGATTAACCACATTGTGATTAGGATTTGCTTCCCAGCCCCTGTCTACATCACATGTTGGAACCAAGGTGTTTTTTATTCACTTGTGCATGGGACTGTGTACTTGAACTTATTAAAACCAACTTATGTAAGGATGTGACAATTCTGATGAGAGCAGAAAATAACGGCCTATGTGTAAGTCCCGTTTGTCAACTTAACAGTGCTCTTTAGCGTGGAAAGAATAAAAACTCAACAGAACTCCACACAAACCGGACGCACTAAGCCTCCCTTTAGACCTTTAATTTGTGTTCCGCCGGAGGCGAGGGTTGATTAATTATGAAGTGAGCTAAGCTTTCAACAAAACAAATCTTTCCATTTTACGATTTGTAAAAAAAGCAAAGAGACATTAGAATATATATTAATTAAGAACAAATTTACCTCACACACTTTAATAAAACACAACCACAGAAACTGCGGGTAGCATTATACCTGCTGTCTACAAGAAAGCAGAAAGAAGGGATGGCTTTTAATTCACCTTCAAAGAAAATCGCCTGTGTTGACTCAAAGTTACACATTGCAAAGAGGCGTATCCCACAACCTCTTTTAAACCCCTCTCCCCCCCCCC